ACACCACTCCAGCTATGATATAGTAGTCAGCAAGAGGGATCACTGGGAAGGGAAACACATACATGTTTTTTTTCTGCAAAGAAATTTAATGTCAGCATGTTGAATGTAAAGTCAACAAAAAGGATCCCATTTATTGTAATAAAGAACATTCCTGGTCTTTCAGAATTAAAAAAATAGCATTGTAATAATAATAATAATAATAGTAGGTAATACTAAAATGTAATAACTCCTGAAACAACAACTCCTGTCACCTAAAATTCTCTTGCAATTCAGTCTCTCAAAGATGTAATGTATAAGCAAAAACAGCCAAACACAGAAATGTGATGCATTAGTTATAAAAGCATTTAATCTATTAAATGTTCAAATTCATAGTCAATCTTCAAGCAAACCATGTATAGAAAGTTTGCAAATAAACTACAACAACATTCTATGTTTAAAAAGTTTTGAAATTGCATCATTGTCCTTTTTGTCATTCTGGTGCACTTTGTATCAAACATTGCCCTTTGTGTTAAGTATCATGTCAAACTTTACTTGACCTGGATTGCAAGTCAACATTGCAAATGATACAAAAAAAGCATCATCTGAAAATACAACGCAGACACCAAACCAAAAATCATATCCTTATTTTACAATATTAAAAGCAAATACATCAACACAGGCAGCAGAAACTGAACAGCAGTGCAGAAACTCACCTTGTGTTGGTGACTGTCTCTGCTGTTTTCTGATGATGTACAGAATCGGCTCCTGTGCGTGAAGCAAAATATATTCCACACCCACCATCTGACTACACACACAGAAAACACAATTAGACACAAACAACACAGCTCTACCTATTTTAAAAGAATGGGAAATCAATCAGTAGTGACAGTAAAATAAACACACATGCATGTATGTATTATACCTGTATATCAAAAATATAACCGACATGACTAAGAGTATACATCTGATGTATGTATAACACAGTTTTAACGGCATAGTGCAGTGCTTACTTGAGGTGATCCAGGGTT